ACTATCTAAAGATTTGCATCGAAGCGTTTATTTTTGATAGTGATTTTAATCACTGTCAGATATTATTATACTTGATCCAACTATGCCACGTCACCACTGTGCCGCGACCCCCCTGTGCTGGGTTTTTATATATAAAATAAAAACTAAATAAAGTAAAACAATATTTTACCAATTTAATATGTAATGTCAAATATTAATTTATGATAAAAAACCCGGTACAGGGGGGTCGCGGCACAGTGATGCCATGGTATAGTTGGATCAAGTATAATGATATCTGACAGTGATTAAAATCACTATCAAAAATAAACGCTTTGATGCAAATCTTTAGATTGTCTTTAATTTTAAAAAAATTGATGTATTATTCCAAAAGCTACATGACTGCTAGTTCCTTATTAATATCTTGATTAAGATAAAGTATGTCGAATGAAAAAGGGATTATTAAAAAATATTATTTCTCATAAAAAAATTGTGTTGATCCATATACTTTTCAATAAGTTATAGCATTATAAAGTTAAAAATATAAAAAATAAAATCGAGAATTTTCACACGAAAATAGCATTTGGTAGCTATTTTGCCGTGAAGACAAGTCTAGAGGTCAATTTTTTTTTTTTTTAATTAAAGTATATTACATAAACTTTAATTTAAAATATATATAAAAGTGTCAGACCTTCCGGAACATTTTCAAAAGTTAAGTTGAAAAAGTTAAATTTTTGTAAAAAAGTTGTCATTTTAAATCCACCCCTGTGGGCAGATAAAGGGTCAGATTTACAAAACAAATATAACAAATAATAAGTAAAGACATCAATCATCTATATAAAAAAAAATTATATTGATATGTTCATTTTTGAAAAAGTTACGGCAGTTTTTAATAAAAATAAATTGAAAAAATTTCGAAAATTAGCGATTTTTAAATTTGTAATTTTTGTGGAGGTTTCCCCCATTTACGGGGAACGAGGGATTTTTTTTTCAAATTTTGAGGGTAATGTCTTTGAATAGATACGATTTGTGATTTTTTGACGTATCATTAAAAGAAATCCGTTCGGTGAGAGTTGAGAAAAAGTGGTAACAGTCAGAAAAAAAAAAAAAACACATCATAGTAAAACCAATACCTTCTCAGCTTCGCATCGAAGCTAAAAGAAAAATCTTTTTTATTTTAGATATTGGGCGGCGACCTTACCTACGACTGACAAATGAATTTAACTAATTTATATTTAAAATGTGAAATTCAATTTTTATACCTCAATCAAAATCATTATTAAATTAAAATTATATATATATATATATTGGTTTAGTTGATTTTGAGTTTCATATTATTCTTTTCTTCATATATTTTTTTTTCTTCTGTTTAATTATTATTTCTTCTCTAATTATATTTATTAACTTTTAAGTCGTTATAAACTGAGCTAGTAATGGCTTATTTACAATGAATCTACTACATGTCTACAATTCAAAAAAATTGTCACATTATATCTGAGTTTAAATTGTTACATTTAGTGTTCATATACCAACTTTGTATTCGTTAAAATATCACTATGGTAATTGCAATGAATTATTTGATTGATCAAATAATAATTCACTGATAGTCATCTATCACAGTAATTACTATAATCATTGGTTTATCCTTAGCCTCGCTTTGTTTAAGTTTAATTAACTATAAATTAAGATCAATGTGTCCTGAAGTACAATTAATAATCGTTTCCGAAACAATTATACTTGGTTCTTACAACATTATGCGTTTATCCTCAACGTTAATAATCAATTTTTAACATTAACTTGTAGAAGAAGATATTATTAGCCTTCGTACTAAACTATCTCTAATTAGATTCAAAGTCAACTCTGAACTGACCCCTTCAATACTTCTTTTGTGATTATAAAATTTGTAGTGATAAATTATTTTTGAAATAATAATGATATTCGAACTCTTAATATATTTATAATTTGTCATAATAATTATTTCACTAAAAAAATTATTTCTCCTATAATTTACTTTAAATGTTAATTCTTATTACTGGGATTAGATCATTTAAAAAGTTTCGAAAAATCTGACTTAATAAAAGTGAATAGTAATTTTACATTTAATTATTGGTATGCCACCTAAAATTTTGATTATTGTATGTTATTTTTTAATTTCTATGAAATTATACAATATTTTTAATCATCAATACCTCTGATATAATAAATGAAATATCAAAAAAATTTTATTGAAATTTTAAGTTTGGATTAAATACATATTATGACTACGTTTTTGTAGTTATATAAATGTATAATATTTCGATAGGAAAAGTAAAGTTAATAAAGTTTTTTATCTATATTTTCCTTGTTATTCGATATTAAAAATACAAATGCACACTGATTGTTTTAATCATTAAAATTAGTAAATTATACGCTAATTGTGAATGTACCTCAAACGTCAAATAATAATTTAATTAATCCGAGCAACGCTAATAGAGATTATCTTATCTGTTGGGGAATCGAGGACCAGAGTAATTTATAACTGAATTATTAACCACCTAAAGTAATTCAATAACAATAATTATAGTCTCGTTTAAATTACTTATTTAATTATGTGTATAACCATAAACTACAGCAAACGCGTATATAATTTAAGTCAAATAAAGTTTCAAAATCACAGCGTTTTAACTTGAACATTTTTAAACTCAATTGATACTCTTGTTGTTACTATTATTTATAATTATTAATTATAATTAAACAAATTTTAATTATAATTATGAATGTTAAAAAGTTCATTGATAAAACTAGAAATAATTTTTTAAACATTTATAAAAGAGTTCTTACAATCACACAAACTTCTTTTAAACTTAGATGAACGTACCTTTGTTTTTTTACCGACCAAAATGATGCCTTCAAAACTGAAAAGAACAAACTTTTTGTTAGTTAATGTACAAGTATAAATTAATGATAAGTTGAAATTCGTTAATAATACAAAAATAACTTGAGCGAATACTGTATAGGCAATATTTTATGCGTTACGTCGTATTAAAGATACACGGTAACTCACTTAAATGTATTACACGAAAATTGTTGGTTTGTTAGCAGACATATAATAATTGTATAATAAGTTTCAGAATATAACATCGTTTTATGAAACCGTGTTTCCTCTTTAAAATACTTAATTTAAAACGATAAAAACTTTTTACCGGGAGAATTTAATATTATTTTGTTTTTTTCATTATTTTTACTTTAAATAGGCAGTAAATAATAATTTAAAAACTAAGCTTCTCTATTATTCAATATCGATTTTTACCAAGATTCGTTTTTCAATACACACTAGCACTGAACATTATTACCATAAAACTTCTCGAGAAAATACACACAGACGAAGATAAAAAAAAAAAAAGACCCTAACTCGGACGTATCTGTCCCACTGGGAAAAGTAAGTCTATAAAAGACCAAACCGTATTTGTTCATTATTCGACTACTTTTCTCGATCACGATGATCTCATTCTTGTCACTAGAATAACTTTTACATGTAATTTAGATCGGTAAAACCGGATATATAAACATTTCCCACTATTCGCGAACACACTACTTGCGACACAACTTGGTTGCTTTTACGAAGTCAATTTACATCGTTAATCTTAGTAAGATGTTCACTATCGCAAAAACAGTTTTTCCCATTAGTTTCTGTGTAATTCTCGAAAATGTTTGAAAATACCGCATTATCTTTGATAGTTTTATACTTAATTTATTATTGAACAAATTAAAAAAGAAATGCATTTTCTATAAAGCTATTGCTTTATTTTCCATAGTAACATTAAAAAAATGTTTTAAATAAAGTAAATATATGAATATCAATGTATAATTATTCATATTTATTCTGATAATTATAAATACTAGAACAGAAATGAACTCTTTTAATAGGTTAACTCCTCTAAATTTAAATAAAACGAATAACTTTAAAAATAATACCGAGCTTATCAAAAATTTATAAGGTATATTCCTGAAAAATTATCAAATTTCATCACGTATGTGAACTTTCAGGTGGAGAGGAAATTAAATATCATTAAATCATGACCCAATAAACACTGGCACGCTAACAGGATCGATATGTTTTAGTCTTTATAACTAGTGTATAACTATTGTTTGTAAACTCCATTTATTCTGTAAATACTACATTGTTGAGTGATAACGTTTTCAAAGTTGCATAAAATAAAATTTATTAAACAAAACATTATTCTCTCAACAGCTTTCAAACTTTTATAGATTACCGTAATTTAATCTAAAATAAGAAAAAAGTAATAAAATTATTTTGCAATGAAACTAGAATTTGATATTCGAGTTTTTTTTTTAGTTAATCAACTGAATGAAAAAACTGACTCTAATAAGTTTATTGATTCTTAAAAAAAAATGACAAGTCATTAAAGATAGTAAACAAAGAGACTTTGTAAAATGGATTATATATAGTTGGGTTATTTTTAAGAATGGATATTTAGAGAGTAACATTCAAAACTTAAATGTTCACTATTATTCATTTTTCATTTTTATATAATTTAATGACGAATGATCTACAAAACTTTTGACTGGTAGATAACTAGTTTTATATTATTATTTGTTGAGTTTTAGCATTTAGTGGTTTAGAAAAATTAATGAGCGTGTAGTACTTAGCGAAATTCTATTTAACCAAAACGCACAAATAACAATTCCTCTACATTATATACCTCTCTAGCTTGTAACTATAAATTAAATAATCTCATAAAATAATATTACAAAAATAAGTATGGATCAATCAAAAATGAATTTCGACTATTATCCATTTGATAGCAAAAAATAACATTAATAAAAAATAATAATAAATAATAATTATTTTGATTTAATAAAATAATTCTCAATTTTTTTATAACTTACATCTCGTCTTGACGCATAAACTTTCGTTTTATTAAATTTACCAATAGAAAATAATGACTGGCTTTGTATGTAAACAAATGATTTTAAATTGAACTTTTCAATAGGTAACATAATAAATTACATAGTTTCGTTATCTTGATAATTTCTTATATTTTCCCATAATTTATGTAAATATTTTAAATTAGTTAAGAGTGTATTATGTCAGCTAACTTTATCAACATTTCTGTAAACTCTATTAACTCTTTTGGTCTTAAATAAGTTTTTTATAAATAATTTAATTATAGTATTTTTATTAAGGGTGTATAATTTTTAACTACATACGCATTATTTTTATTTTTAAGTAATTGTCATTTGTCATATATTTTACTAGAAAATAAAATATTTTTAAATCGATGAATTGATTATAATTCAATTTTTGAATTTAAATATTATAAAATGAGTAATTTTGTTTACCTATTTTTAGAAAGTAACTTTCATATTCATCGAAAATAAACAATAAATTTCTCGTCCAACTCTTTTTGTTAGAGTGTATCGAAATTGCATACTCATGCTGCCGTCATATCGACAATATATGAGTTGTTTTTTACAATTTCGAATCCTAAAAAATTATTTCTTTCATTCTTAGCCTTGAAAAAAAACATTTTTTTCACTAAAATAAGTTTTCTATTTTAATCGTTATTCAATTTTATTTGACATAATAATACATTTCATGATATCAAATTTTTACTTGTATTACTCTCAAACAAAATACATTTATCTATTTGAAGACACCAAATTTTTTATGTAAGTAAAATCTTGAAAAATAACATTTGAAAGAGTACTCTATAGAATTAAACAAATAACAGCTTTCAAATTAAGTTTGAAACTCATACTTAGTAGTCACACTAATGATTCGTTTACACAATTTTATACAACAAGAAAAATAAAATTTATGAAGTACGTCACTTTTTTCTCTAACAGCTAACAAAGGACAATATAACGAAAAAATTGCTTTACATAATACTTAGATACAAAAATATCAGTATTCAGTATGAATTAAAAATTGAATACTCATTTATGTATTATAAAATTAGTGTTATTTTATTTAAGCTAATTTTCTAATTTTTATACCATAAATATTGAAAAATAATTCAATTATATTTATTTTATTTTTAATGAGTTTTAAAAATAAAAGATTATTACAATAAACAGATATCCATTTGCTTTTTTTAACATTTACAACAATTATGTAGCCTATCCAAAAAGTGTCAAAAAATTGAGTATATAAATATAATAATATATAATATCATATGTATTAAAGAAATATATTTTTTGTCGTTTTTAAAAATATTACGATTGAATAAAAGTTTTAATTTATTGCTTTTCATTAATGTTGATTATTATAAGAAATTATTTGAATTAAAAATTTTTTTTACTCTCCTGAAAATTGCTGAAATTCATATATATCAACTTTTAAAAAGTAATCACTGATTAAATTTACATAATTTTGTTTTTTTAATTACTAATATATAAATATATATTAACTACTCCCTAGATCAATTAAAGATTTTATACATCTAATATACCAATTCTTATGGTGGCAGAATGTGACTTCCTATTAATTGAGGATTACATATATATTACATTTTTTTTATAATTATCTAAATAAAATTAAGATATGTAAACCTGCCGCAATAATAACAGCAGGGTTGCTAAAAAACATGTTAAAAAAAATCTGTTTAAAACATAAATAAACAATTTAATACGTCCCTTTAGACCAAAGTAAATTTTGACATTTTTGATGTTTTTGATGTTTTAAACAAGCAGTGTTTAAATGTAATAACCCTGAAAAAAACGAGGAGTATAATTTTTTTTTAATTAATTATAATTCATATTAGTTTATGATCTTTTTTAAATGGTTCTTGGAATATCAGGTAGTATTTTTACCAAATTTGAGTTTTGATTGTAAATACTTTCTTTAAGAGATTTTATTAATGCTTAAGGGTCCCACCTTCCCCTATAAAATGCAATGTTCACTAATATTCAATTATTACTATAAAAATTTAATTTAAAATCTTGCTTGAGAGTATTTGTAGTAATAATGTACTAAAAACTTAAATAAATATATTTTCCTATAATTCTATAACAAAAAAAATATTATTTTTTTTGTTTATTAAAAATGAATTTTAAAATAAAGATAAAGTAGTGAGCAATTTTAAAAATATTAATGAAACATTTTATGTTTCTTGAGTAAAATTCTAAGTTTAGATTCAGTTTTATAATATATAATAATAAAATAAATAAAAATGTAGAAAAAAACTTTTTTTTTTATTTACTTAAAAATATTTTACAATTAATTTCAGTTAAAAATAAAAATAAATTAAAAAAAACTTTAATATTAATATTGATATAATGTTATGTTAATTTTAAGTGTAACGCGCCATAAAAAATATATTTTATATTTTATAATTTAAAGAAAAAAGGCATTAAATAACTATATTTTGCTTAATGCGCCAATGTACAATTTCTGTTTTATTTATATTTCACATATTCGTTAGATTAATGTATTTGTTTAAATAGAATTGCGTCATTATCTTTATGTTAAAAAAACTGTTGTACTTCATAATTTTTATTTTTTTTTTCACTATTCCAACTCTATTAATAAATCAATTCGATAAACTATTAACAAAAATGATAAATTAACTAATATATTAGTTACTCGTCGTAATTTTAATTAATTTAATTAATTAATAATTTCATTACTTTATTTTAAAAATTCGAAAATCATTATATTTACCATTATAGTTGAATATTCTATATAAAGTTCAGACATTTTAATTATATAGTTTGAAAAGAAAATTTTGAGTTTATATTTACTGTTTCAGATATCATTGGAATTATTTTTCCAGAAGAAGGCCTTTCTAGCATCACAAAATTTTGTTTCAAATAATGATTAATTAAAAATTTACTAATAGGAGACGATGCTCATATACTTCGTATTGTATTGACGCCCGTTTTTAATGCACAGGAATTAGAATTTCAGAAAAAAATCCATTTTTCGATGGTTGTAAAAGAATATTTAGTTTCATTTAATTTATATTAATGGGCTAAAAATTTAAAATTTACAATTGATTATTTAACACAAATTCTATATCATACTTTTTGTTAATGACATTTAACCTTACGGTAGTTATTTTTTAATTTCCAGTGATTAATTTTGTGTTAGGACATAATGGTAGTTTAGTTTTATAATGTCATTGTAATATCCTTTAGTTGCTATGTATAAATGTATTAAAATGTATTTAGAAAGTTTCCGAATACATTGAACATTATTCACGTGATTACATTAAATAATGTGAAATAAATTAAACTTTTTATGGAATCATAAGACAACATTTACTTTGTTATTAAAAAACCTTGCTAATGGCATCCATTAAGCTAGGCCTAAAATTCAGCGATCACCTCTATAATTTATAACTGTAATTCATATGCACAGCGACAGTTGGGCAACTTGAAACATTTTACTCGAAAATATTTTTCTTACCTATGGATAACTTGTATATAAAGTAACTTAAAAACACACATCAATCATTCGAATGTTAAAGTGCACGTTACATGTTAATTAATCTTACATTGTTCTTAACTTTAAACTTACAGTACATCAGTTTCATAGGTTTTACTTGAAAAATACATATTTATCATTCTGTTAATATTTTCACACCAAGTAAAATAGTAATCGATATTTATGAAAGATATTTCAAAATTAACTGTTGGTTAATTTTCAAAAAAATTAACGTTTAACAAACTTTTTGCGGTAGTTATTTCATTACTTTGGCACTATTGGACTATGGACTATTAAAGACTAATCACTACGTTTTCATATCATATAGAATAGATAAAAACAATTAATTTTAAATTATCCAAATAAATACAATATTTTAAAATGTCTTACAGCTCTCTAGGCTATGTACAAACCCAACAAATTAAATAACAATCTTATTACAAAAACTTCATTTTATTCTGTAAATAACGTTGATGGAAAAAATTAAAAAGTATCTTGCCTATTTTGGAAATATTGTATTTGTTTTGATTTATATTTTTAGTCTACTGATATATATTATTTTATTTTGATTAGTATTAGTGTTTTTATTATTTTCATTGTGTATTATCCATAGGTAATGATTTAGTAAGGTTATTTTTTACAACAAAATAATAAAATAACCATTATTTTTATAGGCCCATTCTTCGATGTATTATAACAATTGATTGATGGACATTTTCCGAGTAATTGATTACCGAAAATTATAACTAATATTATAAAGGGTCAGTCTATAATATTGAAAACAAGCATACATACCAACATGCAAACTAGTAATACAAGTTATGAGATGTAAATACGGTAATAACTGACAATATGGAATAAGGTAAAATATATTGTAATGTTCTTTTGATTTTTTTTAAATGATTTAAATTGTAGTGTAACAAATTTTAAGGTAGCGCTACGTAAGAAGAAATGATACATCAACTTGACTTGTTACATTCGTAAACAAGATCTGTTCCAAGAGTCATTCACTCAAAAACATCAAATATTGAAGAATACGAACATTTAAGCGTATACACATTTATAATAGAAGAGATTAATATATTTTACTCTTCTGCAAAGGTTTACCCTAACACATTTGTGCTCTATCATCGTTAAGGATCATCAACTGCTAAATAATTCGACTCGACTTTTGTTTTGACATGAACTTCATGTCATGAAGTAAGAAACCTTAACAATGGAACGATGAAAAATCTATTAGAGAAGTAAAAATTGTTTATTTTACTATAAAAGAACATATAAAATCAGTTTTAGCGAAATTTTTAAAATTATCTATTGAATACGTCGATATAATAGTCGCGAAAAAAAACAGTGGTAGGAAACCACTACTTCAAAGTAGTAAACGTTACTTTTATTTCCAAATAAATACATTATAATAAAAGTAAAAAGTATAAAGATATAATTTTATTATTTTGTATTAAGAAATACTTTGATAAAAATAAGGAGTTTGGACACAGTTTATAATGTAAAATTATGTTTTTATCTCCATAAAATTATTTTTGTCAGGTCTATAATTTATTTCTTTGTTGAAACTTATAACAAAACAAAAGTTTTATAATTGTAAAATAAAAATCATACAGATAAGTAAAAAAAAACTTATACTATATTAGAACTTTAATCATTTTTTGAAAAACAATATGGATGGGATGATACAATTTTCATTCCATTGAAGACAATAGGATGAAAAATAAATACTCTTCTTTGATTCGTAACGTCTTTGTTTAAAGATAATAATCTTTGACGTTAATTTATTTAGTAGAATATTTTTTCATGTTCAGTCTATCTAATTAATTTGCCTAAAAACCTCCAACTCGTAAGTTATTTTAATTGTTAATTGATTCATTTATATTTTCTTGACTCAGAATCGTGAGAACAATAGATATATAATGTGATTTATTAAGTATACTACCCCCCTTTTATTTTTGTTAAATAATGATTTTTTTCATAAAAACATACGGATTAAAATTTAATTTATTTTATTAACCATTGTTAATATCAAGTTTATTGTAAGAACAAATTATTCCTAAGTGTAGATTTAAGAGGTAACTTTCGAAAGTTAAATGAGAACCTATTACTATTATTTTTTTATTAAATGGAGAATGATTTAAATAAAATTTTTACTATAACAAACAGATAAGAATTATTTTACGTTGCATACCTCACTGGCCTATAACTAAAAATTACATTAACTGAAAAAATAATAATACAAAACTGCTTATCGTATAATCAAAAATTAATACAGACTGTTTTCCATTTAATAAAATAATAATAATTGCTTTTCATTTAATTCACCTCTACAATCTACCCTTATGTATAATTTTTTCTTACAATAAACTTGATATTAATAATCTTTTTTTTAACGTTTTTTGTCATTTTAGGTTTTATACAAAGCATATTTTTTATCAAAAATAATCTAGATTTTTATTTATTTAAAAATTATGTAGTGCGTGGCTACAGCCCATACTTGTGTACGTATACTCTACCCGCGTTCCATACCCACTCTATGTATTAATAAGTTTGTAAATCAATAAGTTCTTATTTACTTAAAATTGTTAACGACTCATAAAAATTATACCTAAGAAAAAGGCTTAAAATGGTTACCTAAAAATTAAAAAAAAACTTTTATTTCTTATTACTGATAAATAATGACAAATATAGTTTAAACGAAGTTTAAGAAGACAATAATTATTAAAAAAAAAAGTTTTCAAAAAAATAATAATTGGATTAAAAGTTATGAGCGTTGTCAGTTACATTTGCGATATACTGTATACTTTTTGATTTTTCTCTTGGACAGGTTTTTGCCATAATTCATTCCCTTTTAATACGATTCCGTGATTCAACAAGTGAAATATTTGTTCATTTTGAGAAAATTAGTTCTAGTTAAACATTAAATTATATTAATCTAAACCCATAAGAATTTAAACCAAGAGACTTGATATTTTTATAATAACTTTTTATATTTCTTATTTGAAATGTATCAATTTTCAACATAATGTACCTAATTAAATGATCCAGTATATTTGAAGTTAATTAATTAACTAAGTTCGACCCATGACTATCTAACACAATTAATTGTAGTAAAAACAACTCAAATATTATTTTGTGTGTTGGCCATTTTTTTTTTTTTTAATTTTAAGCCGAGTAGTTTTTGACTTTTTTAAAAAATAGATTTGTATTATTTAATAAATAAGAGCTTTAAAAAGTTTTAAATAAATTTTTAAATTATTTCACACTTGATATTAAACTAAATAAATAGTGTTACCTTTGTATAAATGGTCGCTTTTATTGTGAAGCGTATGGAGAATAGAACTCCCATGTCGAAAATATATGATACGATATACTTAGGAATGGATAATAAAAAAATTGTATGCATGTTCCTTTTGGGTATAATTCTAAAAAACATCATTGATACAATTTTTTAATTTAAATCTATCTCAAACCCCAAATAGAACAATTGAATCATACGAGAATTTATTTCTTTATTTAAATAAATACTCATTTAACAATACGTAAATCATCTAAATCTATGAACATTTATTTATACTATTTCTCGATTTATTTAGCATTTATCATCATTAAATTAAAATAAAGTTATTTTGATATAGTATAAAAGTAGAACGATTTAAAGAATATTATAAAATTGATTTCAATAAAATAATTTGTTTAATTCAATTACTTGATAATTTTGTTAATAATGAATACTGTATTAATTGCTTTAGTAATCTTACTCTATTTTCAATATGTTTCAAGTAGCTACATAACATTAAAAGAAATAATTAATTCCGAAATGTTGTACAATTATTTTGTTATAATGGAGCCTGCTTTTGATGATTGTACGGGAATATCGAATATTACCGTAGGAGAATTGATACAAAGTGCGGTCAAATTTGGCGATTTAGATTCAGTACGAATAGCGTATACAGCTTTTTATAATGTATCTCTATTTAGATACCATAAACAAATGTATGTATTAACGACTTATAGTTATAAAATATTAGAAGTGATAAAGGCTCAGCCAATGATTGAAATAATACAAAATGACGTTTTCAACTCTCAAAATGTCGAAAACATGTTATTAAAAAACATTAGGAGTATTCAACATTTGATCGATGAGAGCTTCAAATCAAGGTTCAATAATTTACCATCAACTGTTGAATTCATTAGTAAAAAATTAATGCTTGAAATATTAGGAAATCATAATTTAGATACTCACACAGAACTTTTAAAACAATTATCAGAATTATGCCAAAGGGAAGTTGAAAAATACTGTTTGAGAAATCGTGAAAATAATAAAAAATCTATTGACGAATCTATTGATACATTTATTGACTATAGTAAAGTATACGAAATAACAGGACAATCAGATTTGTCAAACATTTTCATAAATAACAAATTGTCATTTGATTGTATAGTACAAGAACTATTGAGTCAATTTGAGACAATATCTAAAGAATACGCTGTAAAAAGGCTACCCGACGTTCACTGTTATTAAGACAAGCACAAACGTATGTCTTCAAATAGTTAATCTTTATCATTAAATCTTTCTATTATTACTATCGATACAAAATATAATTTAATTGAGTTTATAAATATTTTTATGAGAAGTGTAAATAAAAAACTACAAATGGTAGTTTTTTTATGATTACTTTCTTACTATTATTGTTAATCAATGTAAAGAAACATTTATTATTTTATGAGAAATGAAAATTAAATCATGTTTTTATTTATTAATATACTTCAACAATTTTAACTATTTGAAGTACCATTAAACTCGACAATACATTTAATTAAAATATCGAAGACACCTGATACTGAAAAAATTCAAAGTGTCTGAATTATAAGGTTTTTTTGAACTAATTATTAAAATAAGTATACACATTAATCCAGCTTTTTTAACAAACTATGATTTTAATAAAAATAATTCTTTGGAAAAAAAATTTAAATCAATATATTTTAAGTTTTAGAATATTATATCGTAAGTCGATTTACGATTTAAAATAAAAGTTCAATATATAATCTATAATTAAATCTAATTAGTCAGCAGATAAAAATACTTAAATCCAATGTCTTTAACCATTGTCTAATAGATTCCTGTGATATGCGTTTTCTTAAATATGAAGATTTATTTTTTCATTGTTTTTTCATAAACATTTCCTGAGGAGTACTTATTTTTATGAAAACTGATCCCTTAAAATTAACTTCTGAAATATTTTTTTTATGGGCACACGTTATTCAATAGAATTTTAACGTTTGTACAAAATAATTTCTTTTTTGCGAACTAATAAAAATATGAATATTAGTTCCAAGTCTAAAAATTATAATGGTGTCGAGTAGTAAATTTATAGACAATTATTTTTAATATTTCATGAAGTATGCATAATTATTTTTTTAATTTTAAGCTTTTTTTTTTAGTTTGCAATAATAATTTATGCAAACATATATGTACAATAAGTTTTAAGTTTTAAAGTACCTACGGACCAGATATTAAATGAACGTTTTATCTGTCTATAATGGCGCGCACACGATCATTTTATTGAGAGATACACAGTTGTCTTCAATTTCGTATACAAGTACATCATTTGATGTACCTGCTTCAACCAATAGGACCAATTTCCAGTTCAATTACTTCCGATGTATGTGCTTCTAGGAACATATTCCCACAAGGTGAAACCCAATAGAATAATCGGTACTGAACATAAATATAGTCAGACTAGTAAGAATGTGAAATTCTATAGCAGTTTCAAAGAATATTTCATCGAAAAATTCCGTTTCCCAAAAACCTATCATCAAATTTCCTGTAGACCCTTAACAGCACGTAGAATATACTATTAACAACATGAACATATTGTATATAGAGCTAAATTATTAATAAAAATAACTGCAACGACAAAAAGACGCACAATTATAAGAGTTGAAATATTATTAGTAATTATTTAACTTTTTCATTATTTTGATGAAGAGCTGTTTTTTCCAATACTTTTACTATAAATCGCTCAGATTAACTTAACAAGCTGTAAAGACGTACAAAATTTTCGGTTCAGTTGTACACGTCAGTCTTGCAGACCTCATGAGAGACTAGAAAATGAAAACCAGCTAACATGGAAAATCAATGTCACCGGTATTCAATCTGCCACCTACGCCACTGCTACCGACTAATATCTCGAATTCACTTTTCGCAAAATAGTCACCTATGTATACTAATAAGTTATAATCCTCATAGCTACTTGTAGAGTATTATTATTTTTTACAGAATAAAAGAAAACGAGAAGAGTGATTACTATATTAGTAACATCATTTTAATTACAATGAAATCCTGTGAAAATCCATTAAAAATAAAATTAATTTTAGCTTGATCATCACAAAAAATGATGATAATCATAATTATTCAAAAAGAAGAGATGCATTATAATACAATACTTGAAAACCTTTGATCTTAGTTTTGTAGGTTTTCTTTCTGCTTAACCAGCGCCGAATATAAACCCTCAAAATGTCTTTTCTTGTTACATTAATACTACCTAGTATAGCTGTATTCCTGAAAAGGATTAGCCCACACGATTAAACGACGGTAACACGAGGGAGTGGAAAGATAACAGGCTTTTGCCGTGGTCAAGTGGATGGAGAGGAAATTAGAGAAACGGAAGGTCGTAGTACAAGACAAATGATATTACTAAATGGTTAACCCCACGCTACACCGGCTGTTCTTTAAACAGTCTCATTCTGAAGTCATGGTCGATTTCCTCAAAATGAAAATATTATTCCCTTTTCGCATAATACAAATGTTGCTTGTGTTAATTATCTAGACTAAATATGAAAAAAAAAAACGATTTGAGCGGAAAGTCTATTTTACACTTATTTAATACAATCCGTTACACAAACGGATAAAAAATATTTTTTAGTAGTCCGTCTAGTTCTAATCGTGAATGGACATACATTATAAATGAAGTATGAAAAACACAGTATTATTATCTACAAGTAGTATTCTTCACAATAAATCTCGCCAAATTTTAAAATCTGCTAGAAAAGTTGATACAACATCATTATGTGAACCAAATTTTTTCATAATTATTTTTTCTTTTTTTTGAACATTTCTATGGTAATATCAATAAGAGTAATATTTCATCCAAATAACAGTGTTGAAATATATTAGTAAAACATTAATTTGTAAGTATTAACTCTTGATTTTTTCAATACTTATTATATTATAACTTAGATTTTATTAAATATATTAGGTAGTTAGAAGTTTATGAAAAAATAAGATAAAATATACCTGAATATTATTTTAGATGTTTATAATGAAACATTCACATGCAACTCCATTCATAGTTAATTACGAATACAATATTATATATTATTTATCTGCATATTTGTGCAGCCAAAAATATTTATTTTTTAAGAAAAGTTAACTGGAAAAACATTTAAGTATTTACAAGTTAAATATTAAATTTAAGCGTTTTCTCGATCCTACAAATTTACTTAATTGAAAATTGTTAAACCCAATGTGAAATCTCGTATGCGTTTGGGACTTATCAAATCGCTCCTAATTAAATATCAGACTATTTTAAATGTTATACTTTTATTCATGGAACATGAAAATTATTTATTTAAATTGTTATTACTTAACAGCATTCTAATCCATAATGAAAAACACGTGTAGGTTCGTCGAATATCTTGAAGTACATTATAAAGATCATCAAATCATTGAGTTGTATACATTAAACATGTTATCTTCATTAAACTTGGAAAGTTTGTGTGGTAACGATTGACATGTAGAACTACTCATATGACTAGCATCAAGAATGATCTGAGTGTTATGTATATTAATGAACGTTACATGGAAGATACGTTGGTAACATATCAAATGCATTTGTATTATTAAACGGTTAACCAAAGCATTTGAGATATAAACTGCTCCTCGGAGAAAAAGTTTAGTGTATAATTTGAAACAACACCACGAGGTCCAAATTATTATTTTCAAATATTTAGATAGTCGGCCTCTTTTGCGAAAATAAAATAATAAAATATATTTAATTTAATTAGAAAGTATTTTATAACATAGAAATTATAAATAGCTATACAATATTGAGTTTATGTTAAAAAAAATGGAATCCATAATTTTAAGAAGAGAGATTTAAGGTATATGACTAACGATTTAATTATATTTAGATCTTTTAATTTTAATAATTAACTATGAAACAAGTACCTAGAGTTTATTTAAATGGAGAAATAATGTAATTTTATTCTGTATGGATTTGTTCAATTTTGTTTAACAAATAATTATTTTAGTCTGTTTTAATCTTTTTAATTTTTGCTCAGATGACTTCACTAGGAGATTTTTGTACTCTGTTTAAATAAACAAACATATGTATATTGAATCACTTAAATTATGTTTATTGATCATATGCAACAAATTATATAAAAATTAATTACAAACTTAAATTGCATTGTCTTTTAACCAAAATTTTTAATGTATCCTTGTATAAAAAAACCATAATTTTAGCCAGCAAACCACTTAAAAATGTTATGTTTCCCGTAACCTCTCCCAGAGAAAGCGTTCCTTTATAAATACTTTACGCAATAAATTACAATGTAGAGTATTTATAATTTATAGCTATTTAAAAATAAGGCCTCATTTATAATTGATGAACTGTCATTTAAAAGAAAAGTAAAAGTTAAACAAACATTTTTATCTCAATTCTTTTACACAAAAAGGGTACCTAAAACTGAACGACCGATACTAAATTCGGTCAGAAAATGATGAAACACCTAGAAAATAAATATTACGTAAAGTGGTAATGATGGATTGGTCAGTAAAAAGTTCTAGGCGCCTCTGATCTCCTGTTTTAATGTTATTTACAATGTAATAACTGAACAACACATATTTTAAAAGAAAACAAATACATGGTACACTTGTAAGTATTTTATTTAAGCAATCCATACGCATAAAACCTGTCACGTCGTAAATTTTAAATTTCCGCGCATATTATATCAAATGAAATGTAGTGAAAATGATCCAAGTAACGAATACACCAAACTATAAATTATTAATCAACTTTTTCATTAAACTATTGTGCTCTGGTTTGTTAAAATATTCAAATAATCAAACTTTAATTATCGTATTTCGTAACAATTAAATAATAGAAATTTTATTTTTATTATCTTTAAGTTATAAATTACTGACAGTTGTAAAAATATGGCATTTAGTAGGAAATTAATTTTTTTATGATTAGAATTTATGTCGGTCGTTAGCATTTTACAATCTTATAATATAATCTTAACAATAAACAAATATGCATAATTAAAATATTCAATATTTCGATGGGTTAAAATAGAAAGTAATCAATGATTTTATTTAAAGGTTTTGAAAAAACAAAAAGAAATGTCACAAACGATTTTAATATAATTTGGAAAAAATCTATTCTTTTACAAGAAAAAAATATTTACTTTTAACTTCTTTTGTTTTATTGAGTCAATTATTTAAAATCATAGATAATTTCAAGGCTGTAAATGAACAAAATGTAGATAAATATTATTTTTTAAATTTATTTATTATTTTAATACTCAAAGAACTTTACTAACACCGTTACACATTATTTACTATTTTAAATGGTTTAACAAAAATAAAAAACAATGAGAAAAAAAATAACTTTTTGTGTTTTAAATTGCTACAAATATAATATATATTTCATGTATCTATAACTATAATTCATTTCATACAGTTTTTATAAATATTAGGAGCTTTTCAGTTATAGACAAAGTTTTTGTTCATTTATATTTTAGGATACATTGTTATGTATAATATTGATTATAATCAATCTCTACCTGAATATTTCATCGTATAATTATTTATTTATGTATTAACGACGCATTTAACCATAAGTTTTAGATTTTTTAAGGAGCTGTACCATAACATACTATAAAAATTTAATATGTTTGAAATATACTACTTTGTCTTTTAATTAAAAAATCTACAAAATTTTACATTTTAAAAATGAAAAATATATGTGAAATAATTTGTTTTTCAAAACTACTTCGATTGTTTTCTAAATTATTTTCAATTGCCAACTGTAAATTTCTCGAGGTATGTTTAAACATTAAAATTGGTTTGTTTTTAATCTTATGAGATTAAAGTCGAACTACAAGCGTTAAGGCTTTCGCATAATATTATTTGGACCAGTATAGTTAGTTAATAGATTGTGAAAATATAATTTAAACTCTTGGTTGGAGTTGAATAAAAACAAGATTTAGAAAAGTTAACAAATGAATTTTAATCCTTTCTGGTACACTAATTATACAATTCTGTATTCGGTTAACCCTTTGAAATTCAATTTCAATGGCTTTTTAGGATTTTTTTTTAACGCTTGCCTTCTTTGATTATACTGTCGCCTGCCATTAAAATAATACGTTTTAATGTCGAGTAATACTATGGGGATATGAGTAATAATAATCATTTATAATAAGTCTCATTTGAGATTGATTTTATTGAAATAGTTTCTTTGAATATGTTTCAGTATTGACTGAAAACCAAAAATTTCAATTTATTCAGTTTCCTATTTTATTCATATTATAGTAATGAAGAAAGTACATGTTCAATGTGAGCCACAATATTTTATAGCCGTAAAATGGTAATAATTTCAAATGAATTATTAGAAACAAACATGATTTGTACTAACTATGGAACTTTTATTGGCCCAGCTAAAAAAAATAAAATAAAATAAAGTTGGGGAATCATAATTTTTCTCATCCTACTGAGAAAAGTTTTTAATGAGTATTGTTCTGCTATTGTGCGTTTATGAACCACTTTCGTTGGATACAAAATGTCCGTTCAGTTCAATTGAGTCAATTTTACATGTGAAACGTTTTTATTAATATAACGAAAAATGTAAGGTGTAACCATACAAGTACACTATGAGTGTCATTAAAATCTGTACTAACATTGTCTACTCTGAAAGTGTCAATAAAAATTAATGATCTATCAATATAATAAATTTACTACTTACATCGATGGCTGTTTTTGTTGCTTCGTTACGTACTCAGATTTTAATTAAATGTGTTTGAACGGTAACATAAATAAAGTATCACTATTATTATACACACGTACACAAAAAATACTATCACAACTGTGAAACAACTAAAATTTTATTATAATCGCGTATCGACGACGTAATTTTAAACGGTTATATTTTAATTAAAAAAAACTAAGATTCCTGCAAAACGCATCTAGTTGTTGACTAATTTAAATCACTATGTTGGATTATTTGTACAACAAGTGCAATCGTACACGTTTACGTTAATAGTGCACATTGTACATATTATAAATGTTGCTTAAGAATTATCGGAGAATACGTAGGCAGATTAAAATCAAAGACAAAACAAAATAAAATAAAAAATAAAATAAATCAAAATTTCAACTCAAAAAAACTAGAGTTGCATCGACGCTACCAGTAAAGTCCTACTGCTAAAATGCTGCTGGTCGACTGGGATTATGACGACCTTTTAGAATACGTAAGGCCCGTGTGGTGGAAACGCGTTAAAGTTGTGTCAATAGGGTGAGCCACAGTACAGCGCCGGACGGTTAGGCGAATGACCCGCGGCTGCCGGAAAGTAGCTTAACACATTCACCCTTTGGCTGTCTAGTCTAAAAAACTCATGAATATTACGTTTTAAATTTCGGTCGTACCAACTAGTTTTTAATTATCTCATTTCATCCAATTCAACATATTAAAAGGAACCATTAGCGAGTCTGCTTGTAAGGGAACGTACTCGTTGTTTTGATATTTTTACTTTAAGAGTTTATTAGTTAATGATATTTTTCAAAACATAATATATGTATTTATTTTCTTAAAGATATATTTTTATTAGTGAGCAGTGTTGACGTGTAGAGTTATGAATAATGGATATTACACAAGCATGATAAAATCATCGTATAACCTAATTTTATTTGTTCATAAAATTGATTTCAATTAAAATAAAATATTTCCAAATCACAAATAATGTATTTATAGGGCTCCTTAAACTTTGCGCATTTATATGGCTTCATAAACAGTATGCATTTCTATGGCTTCTTAAACTTTGTTCATAAATTTGTTTATTTCGATGGCTTCTTAACTTTGCGCATTTCTAAGGATTCATAAATTTATTTATTTCTATGGCTTCATAAATTTGTTCATTTCTATGGCTTCTTAAACTTTGATCATAAATTTGTTTATTTCTATGGCTTCATAAATTTGTTCATTTCTATGGCTTCATAAATTTATTCATTTCTATGGTTTCCTAAACTATGTGCATTTATAAGGCATCATGAAATTTGTGCATTGCTTAGGTTACACATATGTATGCATTTCTGCAGGTTTTAATGATTCCCAGTACAAATTCATCAAAGACTTATTAGTAAAAATTAGCTATAAACTTGGAGGTGTTATTCTAAGAAGTTAGAACTTTTTCTTTTAAAGTTGTAGAGTTAACACTAAATGAAGATTTTGAATATGAGCTAGAACTCTACGAAATTGAATGTATTAATACTTTTATAGGAATTAGTTCAAATGTTTCTAAAAAATTACTGTTTCCTACGAGAAATTTTGTCAAACTAAAAGAAATTCACAAGAACTTTACATAAATATTAATATAATTACACGAAAAAATATACAGTTAATATAGTACAACTCTAATAACACTTGGACTAACTAAATAAATGATTGGGTAACCGAATTTTCAGTTATTTCAATTTTTTTTATTAGCGATTTATATGGTTATTTCAACTGTGATTTTTTTCCATCCAATGTTTTAAACATATTAGGTTATGTTTCTAGAATACTCAATATTTTTTAATAACTAAAAAATGCCTTGCGTTTGTAAAACATTCCAGCACAGGTACAAACAGAGGAGTACTGTCACTACTTAGCAACGCTAAGGATGTCAATAGCACCTATATACATTTTGATATTTTTGAAGATATATTTTGTAATTTCTCATATTATTGTACATAGTAATCTTTATTATTTAAATGAATAATTACAGTATTAATTTTCATCAAATTATATTATTCTAATATTTTATTTTATGCGCAATAAGAAAATTTATTTTGGTCTATAAATCTCAAAAATTATCAAGTTATTTGTAAATAGGTCAACAATAAAGTAAGTAATTAAAAAAATTAATTTAGTTATTCATAAATTTGAATGGGTTTTATAAAATTGGCTAATAGTTTTTTTTTTGATTTTGCAGCAATTGTCTTGCTTTTTTGTACTGCTATAAACAAGGCAAATAAGTTAATTTTCATTAAATTATTATAACAAAATCTTTCGAGACTGAATTCTGATGATAAACAATGCCAAGATAGTAAATGTTCAAAATCATGGTGTACTACGTAATACATTTAACTCCTATATATTCTATAACATTCTATTTAGATATTGCTGACAATTTTTGAGAAAATTGCTTATATATTTACATAGGATTTATCACAATTTTAAAAACATAAAAAAATTTTAAAAAAAAGTGAGACAAGTTAATCACAAAGGCAGTTTGCTTTATTAATCATTAAATTTACACTATTACGACATTATTTATGCTTATTACGAAATGACAAAACAATCATTATAAGTTATTTAAATTGTCCATAAATTTTTAACAATAAATAAACAGTATTAAATTAAAGACACATTTTAAAATAAAGCAACAACATTATTATGATTTATTAATAAATGTTTTTTAATTTTATATATTCTTTGTGGAATTGTTGCTTAACTTTTTCAACATAAGTTTAAAATTATAATCATTTATATATGTTAATAAAACAGCTAAAACAAAATTATACTATGTATCACTTCATTAGTGTCAAGAAAAAAAAAATTATTTTATACCTTGTACAATAAAATTCCCCGAAAAATAAACTTATCACATTTTTATAAGCACACTAAAATTTCTTTATACATATTGAGCTTGAAACTGATAACAATAATTGTGCAAAAAGAAAAACAAACAATTTTCTACACTCTTATTATATTATTTACAAAGGACAATATTAATTTTCTTACAATAATTATCCATTAACCTTAATATAATAAACATATACATAAATATAAATATAAGTCTATATATATATAAATATATATATATATATATATATATATAAAATCATATGCAATATTAATATGTATTTTTTTACTATAGAACATGTACTGTGTGTAAATACAGAGAGATCATAGGATATTGTTTCAATTTCATATAATCAATCACATCCATTTGTGAACTTATCTCTCTGTAAAAGATCATTTTATTTAATATTTTTTAATTGAAGGTTTGCATAAAATTTACTTCTCAAATGACTTATTATGTAAATAATGTTTGCTTTGGAGGTATATTTTTTGAGATCATAAGGCACTGGCATACGCATTAAAATTAATAATGAAAAATGAATCAAATTTTTTTATTTTTAGAGCTATTAAAAATATTTTATCATGAAAATAGAACTGAACATTTTTATTACGTAAATATTGTATGGCACAAAAGTTCGGTTTTAAAATATTTGTTGTACAATCATGAAAATGGACTTGCTATATTTTAATTTAATGTTTTAAGAAATACAAAAGCTAATTACTGTCGTAATAAATTTTTAAATAAAAATAAACTGTTGTAGTAGTAATCAAAATACACAAATAATATGCATATAACATTTTAGTTTTCAAAGATCAATCAAACAATTTTTTCGCAAAACAAGTTATATAATTTATACATTTATATATTAGACAAAACAGTTTATGGCTGAGCAAACGCATTTACAAACAAACAAATCCTTACATACTATGAATATAATCTAAATGTATTCTTAATTTTTTTTTTTTTTTTTTGATTACAGCTATCATCGGCCTAACTTGAGCCAAAATCCGGTATATTAGTTTAAAACACTAGTAATGTATACATGTACAACTATATTATTAATGATAATAAAATACCTAAATAACAATATATTCAGCGGTTACAATCAATTTAAAACTACAACAAATATTAGACTATGTTAACAAAATTTAATATCATACATATACATATATATATATATCCGTGTAATACATTATGTATAGTTTAAATATCATTACATCTATCATAACAAAAGTATATAGGATATATAAAATAGTTGTTATTTTAAAAGAACACAACATCATATATTAACAAGGTACTACTAATTTTTTTCTTGAAATATTTCTTTTACAACTTTAAATCTAACTCTAACATCATATTCTTGAAACCGGTAAAAATAAACAATATTAAATTACACTATTAGGGCAACACAGTGGCAAAACACAATAGAATTACTAGACTCACATTGTCTCCAGTGAAAACAAATGGTATGCGGCCATTGTGGATGAACTGTAATAAAAAAACAAATATTAAACGGCTAGTATAATTAAGTAAAATGTATTCAAGGTATAGGAGTTTAAAGTAAACAATTAAAAATATAATTTCAGTGAAATAATTAATTTTTAAAGATCAATGTTGCTAAACAAACGCGGAAAGATAATACTCGGAGGATTCAGAATTTTGTATGTATATATACATTAAAAAAAAAAAAGTATATAGGATTTAAATCTCAAAAACGTGATGATAAATAAATTTCAATGCTCCAGCCCTGAGCAAACATTAAAGTAATAATTTTTTTATTCCAACGGCAGAATATCATTGACGCGGACTTACGTCACGGCGCGAAAAACATCATTTTCATCACGTTTATCTTTTAGGTGAATTTAGTAAAGGCGCACGCGGCAACGACGTAAACGATCATAAGACGAAGAATATGTGTCACCAGAGGTGTTTTGTGACACAGCAGAGTTTCAGAGAACCTTGTCGCTGGGAGGCATAGTAGTTTAACGTCAACAAGCTCGTTATGGGACCTATACCATTCCGGTAACTATTAGTGGTGCCAATAGAAAGCGCGATCGAGTGGTCCGAGTGGGAGAGAGAAAACAATCACGAGAGATGATCAGATCTGTAACGTTCTATTGTACGATTTTAAATGTTTTTCAAATAATTAAACAAAATTAAGCTCATATGAACGACCCGCAAACAGCGCAGCCAGGAAATACAGATAATATCTACATTAGCCTTTATCGCTTAATTACTCAGATAATAAATAAAAACATGGTGGAACAGCAACAAAACATGAAGCATAATTCTTAAAATGAACGTTGGTCATGATCTCGTCAGCGGTGAACCCTGAACCGGTATCTGATTCTTTCAAAATTGACGTCAATTAAAACGTAATATATTCTACAAAAATACATTGGTCGATCCCGAGAGCCGTAACGGTCAATTCTCTTCACACAATTATCTGATAACGTTTTTTAGTATTGAAAATCAGATCTCCACACATGAATATTGTGTTAATGAAAATAAGAAGTTTAAGACAAATTTTATTGATAATCAAAAAAGAACATCCAACACTGATGTGATCAAATGAATGGAAATCCGTTTTTCACTGTTATAACTATCAAATATTATACATTTTTTGGCAGTCTGATATGATCAGCTGATATGTGACAAATAATTAATATTTATGAAACGTCACCACCAATCTATATCGGTCAGAATAGAAAAGAGATAACGTACATTTTTAGACGATATCCAACATTAATTTTACGTTACTAAATTGGAGGTTTTAAGAAGAACATACCAATTATTGCTATTTTGAAAAAATTACCGAAGATGAAACATACACTAATGAAAATGATAAATTGTCGAAAACGTAAACCAAGTGCTGTCATCCGACTTCAGCGGGATTGTTTGTCACGAACATCGTATTGCACATCACAATTCTCGTGGGCGTGCTTTATGCGACCTGTCTGTTTAGAAATGACGAATATTCGAGTGTAGAAATCCGGCTCTGATCAGATTACAGACCACTACCGAAAGATATTAAACCACTATGCACGAGAGTACCTCGTACAGATAACGAGACGTCAAACAATTTATCAAACCATAGTTATGTCTTATTATAAAGTCTAATAAAACGTTACGTACGAGAGGGAGACGTGCAGTGACTGACGATTGTTATCTTCTACTACAACGCGAATATTTTTTTTTTTTTTTTTTTATTCTCTATGGAAATACTGTATACGCAACAGGTCAATTTGGAAAACAGTAACTACGCGCTCGAGTGGCACAGGACGAGTAGCAACACGAGGAACGACACTGCGCCGAAAATGAAAACAAAATAATGTTAACCAACAAACGTTTCGGTTAATTCAAGGCCTGAAGGAAGTAATACTATAAAACTAATAAAAATAAAGATGTAATCGGGTCGGTTCAAGGACACACACCTACTGTGCACTGTTCAATGTACCCAATGGTGACCGGAGGAGAATGGCGACTGATCGTGGCTGACAGAGGCCAATGTCTGTGTCGTGGCCACAGTCGGCTGCGGTTGTGTAGTCGGATTGAAGTTGTTAAAGTCTAAACAACCGCCTAAGCTGACTTCGTGACTGAGGACCTCGTCCACGTTACATTCTACCGGAGTGAATTTATCCAAGTTGATGTTGAGGTCGTCGAACGACAAGTGAGAAGCTCCCATGATCTGTCCGACAACCGTAGCAGACATGTTGTCGTCTTGCTGGTTATCCATGTAGCCATTGTTGTACTCCTAGACAAACAAAACCGGCCGGTCGGTAAATTAGACACAATATAATTTATCGGGCGCATTAAATAATTGTCGGAAGTCATTTTCGTACCTGTTTGATATTGTAAGGAGACGTGCTGTTTATGCTGCTGAGCTGATTCAAGTTGAAGCAAGAACATCCTTGGTAACCATGTATGGGACACGACGGGAACGCTATGCTGCTGTACGGCGGTGGTGGTGGACGGTTGTCCAAAAAGACGTCTCTGTAGCTGTCTAATGGTTGTAGCGGCTGAGACAGACGAACGGTCTGCGCTAACGTACCAGCCAATTGGTCGGCTTGGCCTTGTTCTGCCACCGAGTCGAGACCGTAATCGGCTGTGCTCAGTTGTTCGCTGAATATCGGAGACAGCCGGCCTGTCGAAGAAGCATTTGAAGACGCCCGCCCTCTGAAGTCAGGACTAAATTTTAAACAGAAAAAATTATAATTTCTATTGTCAGTTACAGTTATCGACTAAATATAGTACTAAATATTGTTTGCGTCGTTTCCCCTAGACAAACACTAAGGTCAAAGACCTGCCGACACATACGTCGTGTTATTTTTGAATGCAATTAAAATAATAGTATTGATTCAATTGAATAACAACAATTTACCCGCCTGAACTTCTTTTTTACGAGTTCGAGACAATCGAAATGATATTAAAATATTGTGGGATATATGAAAATTCACTACTGCGTCATGACCTACCAAATGTTTATCGTACTGTGCATCGTGTATTGAAACAACATCTATGTAAAAAAGAGAAATGCTTTGGAATTTCAATTTTTAAAAACTACAGCTTTAATCAAAAGTAACTACACGTTTTTTAAATATGTTATAGCTTGTATATAGTTAAGTTATATATAATATCAACCACAGTCGATATTACAACAGTAGAGTTAGAAACAATTACAAGGGGCACGGTTGAATTTGTAGTTACAAAAATAGAAATAATTGGCGAAAATATATAGAGGAAACGCTCAACTGTATGATTATAAATCTCGGCGAGATAACTACTACTGACCTGAACTGGAATCCCCTAAGGGGTGACACGGGTATCATGTCTGAATTTTCTGAGACGGAAGAGCTTGGACTAGGCGTGTTCTCCGGATGTAGACCGTTTCTGATGGCCTCCACGACTTTCTTGACACGACCGCGTCTCTTTTCAAACTTGGGCGTTTCCATTGAAGTTGCACGGCGCCTAGACTTGCCTGTTGTTTTACTAGCGTTATGATTGATCTGCCACCAAGAGGACTTGCCTGTGCCCTCGTTTTGAATCTTCTCAAAACGACTGTGTAATGACAAATTATGACGAATGGAATTCTGCAAAGAAACAAACGATTACATTGTTGGCGGTATTATTTTTTTTAGTATTCATCATCGTTCATCATGTGTACAATACACGGTGGTTTTGGGCGTCGAAAATTATTGTTTTTACAAGCGCGTAACATTGAAATTGCGCCGCAGTAGTAACCATTGGAAATTAGTTATTGTCGATTATAAATAATCAAAAGCCAGATAAACCAGCTGGTGAAAATGATTACGGCGAAATAAATATGTAACGCGAGCGTTTGTGATTAGACGTATTTCGTCAGAACGTTGTTGCTTAATTAACAGAAATTAAACATAATTGATTTTTATTTCTACGAGAAATCTAGTCGGCTAGACAACTGGTTTTAATATTTATCTTACATACGTTCACCTTGTAATTTATACACGTTTATGATTCCGGGGAATTAGAAATATAGCGGAGGATTATTTTGACTATAACTTATAACGAATGACTTGTCGGACGGAGAAAAACCTTGGACAAGATCCCACCGACTGCGTGAACAAGCAACAGATTTCAGACGGACATCATTACACATAATACGAATTTCAAGAGCCATCTGTCATCTTTCACGAACGTAAATTGCGCCTAATACACGTTACGCATTTTTTTTTTTTTTCCAAACTATTTCGACATATACCTCCTACTGCGTCGGTTTTTATCAGAATATGTGTCGTTAACATTCATACGCGCGTACGAATAGTCGACAACGAAAAGTCCTGGTAGTGTAGACGCATATAGCTGTTCGCCCTGCCCTTTAACACTCAAGGCCTGCTCACAAAAAACAACTGCACATACACGCGCACAAACAAAACACGGTGAACTCCGTACTATCAAAATGTAAACGCCATCATTACACAGAGAAATTATCTCGGTTGATTAAAGCGGCCAATAAACAGTAAAATTCAATTACTTCGAGTGCGCATATATTATTACTAGTAGTGGACTGCACCCAATCGACAGGTATTCTCGACACAACGTCGTTTACCGTAGAAATGTTCTTTTAGCGGTCACAACCGTTTGAAATAATTACTAGACAAAACCGTTTGTACATCCGTATAGTTCATGGATGTGAAAACGAGCAGGAATTTAACGACAATATAAATAATAATGCGCAATAGTCAACCAGCCTCGACCGAGTTCTAACGAGGGTTAAGTGGAAGATCAACGCGCGCCACGTCTAAACGACGAGCTGCCGGTGTCGGGCTGCTCTCTCGAGTTCCGTCCTCTTATGGCACACACCATATCATCACTCTCACGCAAATGATACCGGCCATAAGTGGGAGCATAATTAATGCATCACAAACTGGATAACGTTCTCTTGCCACATGGGAGTATTCAAAGTAAAATAAAAAATCAATCACCTCTAAGACGGGCGAATTAAACTTTTTGGTTTTCGTCGAGTACTAACGAAATAAACGGCTAAAACTATTAACTTCTGAAATGTATTCTTTGAAGAGCGCGCACTTCACAGCCCGCCGATATTTCAATATGTCTGATGACATTATGATTCTGAGAATAGCAATAATCGTGAATGGCAGGTCACCAGGACGGCGTCAGTTCTTAAGCATAAGTACCAAAATCAACATGATTTTTATTTTTACAGTAAAAAATACATTCGTTGGTTGAAAGTTAATAGACATAAATAATGACAAGTTTAATGAAAGTGGATAGATTTAGATTATTTTTGGCCAAGTTTCTGATTATATTTGTATATTTATTTTTAGACGATACACAATTTCATAGTTTAAAAACCAGTGGCCGGTTGGATTCGATTTTGATGTTCATAAATACTCGTTAGATTTTGCCCTTAAGATATTAAGTACAATGAAGGCACGAAATACAGAGATTTCGAATAAATTACTGTCATACGGGCAAAACTGTTCTGTTTTTAAATAAAACGTCCTCCCACTCGGACGTTAAAATAATTATAATGCCTTTTTAATTAAAATAAATCGAGTGTAATAACCTTTGAAACATACTGAACATTTTCAAAATCTATCCCAAACAACTTAGTGGTGGCATCTGTATTTGACTTTTTATTAGTATTAAACAAAATATAATAAGCATGTGTCAATTTCGCACAACTGGTTTTCGCGTAGACATCGGATAAAAATATTTCTACCGTCGAACCAGGTCAATAATACCATTCATAACCAATTAATTGGTTACCACTATATGTCAGTTGACACCCATGTAAACGACTTGGTGATACGCGTCTGGAAATAAAAATTCTGCATTTGGAATATTTTAAGTAACAGCACTTTCGAGTTTAAAATTATGTTTATCTAAATAAAACGGCTATAATTTTTCAAATGAATATCACGGAGCACATCAAAATAAAAAAATTAATTTATTTTGGACGCAGTCGTATACAACGAAACTTAAAAATAAACATCCGGTGGTGCCGTTCTGTTTCTGAAAGTCTATTCGTAGATCACAATGTAGTCATCAGTTTATAATTGGTGAAATGAAATGAGCGGAATAATCATAAGATTCATTTGGACTTATTTTAAAATAAACGAAAAATGATCACCGTGGCTAGTCGAGAGTCTACACTAAAATATTTTCCGTGGTATTCTCTTCGCCTAAAAGTCTGGATTTATTTTTTTTTCTTCTATACTGTTTTACATCACAATAAGATATCCAAGACCTCTTATAGAATATTTATGCAAATACAATTCCATACAATCGAAAATCGTTTGGGAATAGAACAACGTTGGACGAGTGGCGTGACAGAATTATGAAAAAAAAAAAAAAAAAAGAATATAGATACACTGCGGGTTAATATTTTTTTAAAGCACAGTGTTCACAGTTATCATTGGAATACGATAAAAGTTATGAAACAATTGAACAAATAAAATACTCGATGACATTAATAATTATTAATATGAATAGTAGAAAAAAATTCAAGTAGGCACGGCCCATGCAAAGTGCTACACAAAAAAAATATTACAGTGTCAATAAAATATATTTGGTAGCATCCAAATTGCTACTTCCTAATTATTACGCCACGAATTGAATAAGTATACGACTGTATAGGTGTACACACACACACACACGGCAATGCCAACAGTAGTATAGTGTAATTATTATAAACGTAGTATTATTAGTAATTACTATTCTACTATGGGCGAAACAATAGACGCCTCTGAATATAGGTCGTAATTTTAACTACAAGTCCACGAAACGATTGTCTGATGGCCGTATACTAATAATTAACCGGCTTCAAGTGCGATGAGATGACATCAGTTGTGTTTTTTGTAGATTCCATTAAAATGTTCGTGATATGAAACTCTAATGTTCGACAGCTACCGAAAAGCAATAAATATCGATTGGCATAGACAATTTATACACAATTACGAGTACAAATAGAAATTGCACAATAATAAACACGTGTTATTACGTTTGGCGTAACGAGATATATTAGACAAATAAGTGTTGTATAGATAATTGTTCAGTACGAACTGGCAATTTTTTATTACTTATTTAAACGGTTTCGATTTAAATGGCGTTTTACGACCAGTGAAAAAGACCAAATTCAAAATGATAAACGCGGGCCAATAAAAAAATGGCAAACCAACAGGGGCTGATTAGTTTTACAATATCATACAACATGAAAAATGAGACTTCGGTTCATTTCTCGTACGAACCATTAGTTCCTCGTATAAATTTTTGTCAACAAGTTGTTAATGTTAATGCTTACTACTTGGTACACTTCTTTCCAGTAAAATACTTTGTTGTAAAATGCATATAAAGCAAGACGCACAATTAATGCAGCGCCAACGGCTATTTAAAATGTTAATACATTTAAAAAGAATAATAAATTATATTTTATGCATTCCATCGACGCAATATGACATCGAGTTTCAACACACCACGTGTACTAAGTGGCGTCTTCGAATCATAGAAGCTGTTTAAATATGAAAACGTGTGCAAGTTACGACGCCGTCTCGCTTGGAGAGATTGAGCTGACTGTAAAAAGTAATGTCTGACACACAATTTCACTGCGAATTCAACATTTAAAAAAAGCAAGTATCATTCGGATCAATATCACTAACACCGCAGACGGGTGTCCCAGAAATACTGAAAAGGTATTTTTCTAAATAAAATTTCAACGTCGAAAACCATACTGTTTGGTGTTTCAATATGAACTTTTTTGAAACTGCAACAAGTTTCCAATTGACAGAGTCGAGAAAATCTCAAAAACGAGGGTGCCGTCGATGAGTCACAAACGAATAATGTACGCAGTAGGTTATTGCAGCATCAATGTTTACAAAACACATTCCCGTGAGAAGGAAAGAACGAGTTGAACGAATTATCTAATAATCCACTAAAAAGACAAACGGAAATCTCTCGTGTCGAGGAATTTAACACATTTTTGTGTGGACGCTACAAGCTCGTTTGCGATCAAATACAAGTGTACAAAGTACAAACGAGTGTGTACAATTCATTCGGTAAACCGCTCAACGTTTGGCTTGTGTACGACGAGCGCACAGTTTTTTTATTATTAGTATAATTTTTATACACACACGGTGTGTTCGACGGGGAGACCTTGAAGAGGCCACCAAATACACACCGCCGCCGCCGCCGTCGCACTGTCCAATGACGCAACGACTAATCAGTTGGCAAATCCTAATGATTACTATTGCGCCGCACTTTTAGCGAGAAAAATCTTTTATAAAAAATTTACAGCGACACTAAATCAACGATTCGGACAAATCACTTTTTTTTGTGTCTCCTCTGCAACATTTCTACCGCCGCCGCCGCCGCATTTTGCCTAAGTTTGTATGCGATATAGTATTTATTTAATACACTTTTCTTTTTTTTTTTTTGGAAAACACATTTTGAAAGTAAGACCCAAGGATTTACATTGAAACTAAAAAGAAAACCTTATGTTCCCTCGAGTGTAAGCACTACGAATTTGTAGGCGGTAAAACGTTATACCATAATCATATTGTACGAAATCCAATCGGTCTACTTAATCGTTTTT